GTCGGGGAAGGAAGGGGAAGAACATCTTGGTCAGCTGGCGGAGAGAAGCAGGGGAGAGGTTGAGATGAATGGAGACATGGCGATGAAGTGACAAGACGATGAAGTGCGGGTCGGGGAAGGAAGGGGAAGAACATCTTGGTCAGCTGGCGGAGAGAAGCAGGGGAGAGGTTGAGATGAATGGAGACATGGCGATGAAGTGACAAGACGATGAAGTGCGGGTCGGGGAAGGAAGGCGAAGGACATCTTGGTCAGCTGGCGGTGAGAAGCAGGGGAGAGGTTTAGATGAATGGAGACATGGCGATGAAGTGACAAGACGATGAAGTGCGGGTCGGGGAAGGAAGGCGAAGAACATCTTGGTCAGCTGGCGGAGAGAAGCAGGGGAGAGGTTGAGATGAATGGAGACATGGCGATGAAGTGACAAGACGATGAAGTGCGGGTCGGGGAAGGAAGGCGAAGAACATCTTGGTCAGCTTCCTGGTGGCCGTGGGTACGGGAAGGACGAGAAAGCAGGAGGGGTGAGGATGGAGGAGGGATGAGAACGACAGAGATGAAAAGGCAAAAGAAGACAGGTTGACGAGGTGTGATAAGGCAAATGTTGGATCTAAAGTGTACGTTAATGCCCACCCGTGCCTTGTGCCCACCCATGCCTTGTGCCCACCCATGCCTTGTGCCCACCTATGCCTTGTGCCCACCCATGCCTTGTGCCCACCCATGCCTTGTGCCCACCCATGCCTTGTGCCCCGCCCACCCACCCAACCATCGCTCCCCACCTGTGCTTCGTTAAAGTATTTGGGGAGGTACTTCATGGCGTTGGTGCGGATCACGGAGATGTTGGTGTACTGCGTTGGGAGGATGAGGGTTGAGCGGGAGAGGGGTTGAGGGGTGAAAAGGGGGAGAAGGGGAGAGAGGGAGAGGGGGAGAGGGGTTGAAGGGAGAGACGGAGAGGAGAGGGGTCACAAGATGTTGGTATGCTGCAGTGGGTGGGGAGAGGGGAGAGTTCTGGGGCATCGCAAAAGAAGTTGTTGGGGAGGTACTTGAGGGAGTTGGCGCGGATTACCGAGATGTTGGTGTACTGAGGGGGGTTGGTTGGTGGTTTTGAGAGGCGGGAGGGGAGAATGAGGTGGAAAAGGTGGAGGTTTTGGGAGCGGGCAACGGGTGACCGAGAAGTAGCTTCAGACACATTAAATGAGAACTGTTTGAGCCACAACAAGAACGAGTGACAGGGACGGATAAGGGAGAGCAACGTGGGGAACTTAGCGGGGCATAAGGAGGAAAGGAAGGGCGAAGTATGGAGAGAGGGAGGGGATGGTGGGGGAACAAGTGAAAAACGAAATGGCAAATGGGAGCAGAGGGAGCGGGGGGTGGGAGGTGTGCAGACCTGGGAGGATGCTGTTGCGATGCGAGAGAGCCAGTATGCGGTCCTTCACATACTCGCTCACAACCAACCCACCCCCCTCTCACACTCGCACACAAAGCATACGTCATGCATACAAGTAATCAGGTGGATGGCACACTTTGTCACGTCATTTGAAGCCAAAAATGAGCGTATCTAGAAACATGGGAAACAGCTTCACTGCAACAAACGGGATAGGGGGAAGACGAGAGAAAGTAAGAGTGGAGAAGAGAGAGAGTGTGGGGAAGATAGGGAAGAGAGAGAGTGTGGGGAAGATAGGGAGTGTGGGAAAGAAAGATGGTAAAGCAAAAAAGCAAGGACGACAAGGTAATGGTCCGACGGGTTGGCGAGATGATAGGCTATAACAGTAGAGAGGAGTGCAGCAGTGCAGTGTCGCGGACTGACAAGGGAAGCAAACGTGAGGCGTGGCCAGGCGTGTAGTGTCCCACCCCATGCATGAGGTGGGATGGGGCGATCAGCCTGGAGAGATGGCTCAGAGCTCCCAACGCACCTAGCAGGCCGCCGAAGCCATACCCGACATCAGCGAAGCGAACCAGCAGCTGGTTACACTGTGTTGCTGGTTGGGGCAGCAGTCGTGGCATGCAGCTGTGCAGCGCCGCCCCTGCAAGCAACGCATGAGCAGAGGGAGAAGGAGAATGAATGACAAGCCCCCACCCCCCCCCCAAACCCCCTCAATGAATGAAACGCCCTTTCGTTCAGCTCTTACCCCACCACACCTCACTCATGCACCCACATGCCCACACTCTGTCCCCTCATGTCATCCCTGCTCTCCCTCCCCACTCCTACTCCACCACCCTCACTCCTCTCTCCCCATATCCCGCACTCTCATCACCGCCCTCACCACAGCCCACTCCCTAACCTCATCCCCTCTATCTCTTCCATCCATTTCCCTCCCCTCAGTCACCACAACTCAACCCGCACCATCTCGTGCCACTGAAGGGTCCGCCTCCCTCTCCGCTGTAGTAGCTGCACTGCTATCAGCAGCGGCACCATCAACCGCATCACTGGATGCACCAGCAGTAGCAGCAGCAGCAGCGCCATCAGCAGCAGAACGAGGTTGTGCTGCGGCAGCAGTGGGGGGGAAGAGCGCGGGGAACTGCGTGGACCGGTCCACCTCCGCGTGCTTGCATGACTGCTTGTCAACCCTAAAATCCCACCTCATGAACCCCGACCCTGAACCCTTACAAGCAGATGGCGGTTACCGCGTGAAGCACTATTTAACGGCTAGTAGCGCGAGCGAAACCTGCAGCCTCCTGAGATGCGGAATCATCTCAGCACTGGCCAACGGCGGACAATGTGAAGATCGAAATCCTCAACCCTAACCCTAAGCGATTGCTCGTATTGTTAACAGATTAGGTGTAACTGAGTCTGTTTAGCTCGTAGGCTCTCAGTCCGTGCTCGCAGCGATCGCTCTTCCTGATCTTCTCCTTCCTCAATACACTGTATTCCCAATCATGTCTGTCCTGAAGCGCTCCTAGGCTGCAGCATGTGTGACCGTCAGCTACCGTAGCGGAGGGCTGGGATGCGCAGGACTCGATTTAACGGCTGAAAGCGCCACACAATGAATGCAACGGTGGAGGAAGGAGAAGGTGGTTACACTGGGAAGAGGTTATCGCTGAGCGGGTTGCTGTGCACTCGAGCGCGGTTGAAGTGCTTGCGGCAACGCGGCACCGCTGCTGCTTGGCGGCTTGCGCTGCTGGTTTGCCTTAATTCTGGCGGACGCGGTACGACATTTGCGGGTACTGCGTGTTGTGAATGGCACGCTCGTCACGTGCCACACCAATTTGCCACTCCAACCCCTTCCCCTCAAATGCCCTCGTAACTTTCCTTCCTACCTTCCCAAAGTTATCCAACTCCTCCAAACCCACTCAAATTACCCAACTTCCAAGACTTCTCCCTCCAACTCACCTTCTCCAACCTAAGTCAACCAACTTCTCAATTATTCCCAACCACCATAGCCTTTCCTAATCCAACTCAACCAAGTTTCCAACCAAAATCCCTATTCACCTCCAAGCCCCACCATAAGGCGTATGACTCCTCGAGATTTTCCATGTGCTTTCCCTTCCTACTCATCAAAGATTACCCAAGTCATCTACTTCCTCCACTTATCCTCCTCCCATGTGCCTTCAATCACATGCCTCCATTTCCTAGTCATCAACCTCCACATGCCTCTTATTTACTCCCTCCTTCCTTCCTTTCCCAAGTCACCAAAGTTGTCAACTCATCTCTTAAGGACTTATGATTACCACCTCACCTCCTCTTCCAAGACACCAAAGCTATCATATCTCCTCCACTCATTCCTTTCCAAGTCACCCAAGTCCTCATCCAACACTACAAGGCTACAAACTCCAACTCATCAAGTGCTCAACCACCACCACATGCTCCAAACTATTCATCTCCAACAAACATCTCTACAACTTCTCAAGAAGGTTCTTCAATGACAACAATGCATTCCAAGCTTCTTCATCAAGTTCCTTCCCAAGCTTCTCCTTCAAGCTTCTCATCTACTACAAAGGCTCCTCACTAGCAACCAAGTTCAATGTCTCCAAAGTTGATACTCTCATGCAACTCTCTTCCAAGGCTACTATTGATTGTTACTCTCTCTATGCATGCCTATGTATCCCTCATGGATCTATAAGGCTTGTACTATACCCTTCTTAATATAAGTTTATGCTCATAAAGTTGTCTCTCACCCACTCTACAAAGTAGTTATCAAGTTAGAGTAGTCTATCTCAATTTTGTACTGGTATCAGAGCTACTTAACTCATCGCTTCCGCTAATGTCCTTTAGACAAAGTGCTCTATCCCCTTTCTCCATGACTCCCACTCCCAAGGGCCCAAATTCAAAGAGTGCCACTCCGCAAGGAGAATCAAACTCCTCTGAAGTAAGCGGCACAAACACCGGAGAAACATCAACTACCCCTTCTCTTCCCCCACTTGTGTACACCCAAATGTTTACTCGCTCTTATTTAACCCCCAAGCTAGAAGTGTCACGGTTCAGTGGAAAAGACTTCCAAGCGTGACGAGTTCGTTTCCAATTGGCCTCCACTCTCCTAGAGTGGTGGCCCGTTTACTCCGGTTCTCATTCTCCTCCTTCCTCCGAAGCCCCTCCCACAGAGCAAGCCACATGGATAAAGAAGAATGCTGAAGCCTATCTCTACCTCCTCAACTCCGTCCAAGATCAATGTGCCAAGTCGTTGCTCACGTGCGCGAGTCATCCCGACTGTGCCAAGCGCACATGGGAGAGACTCACAAGGCTTCATCAACCTCGCACCGAGAGCACCAAGGCGGAAATGTGGGGCAAGGTTTTTCGACTTGCGGATGGAGCAAAAGGAGACAATACCCGAGTACTTGGAGCGCGCGGAGATTTTGCTCAACGACACCGACGTCATCGAAGTCAATGTTCCCGAGGAGCTCTTCATCACCATTCTCCTCGCGGGGCTTTCACCAGAATGAATTCAAATGCGGAGCACAATTCAAGCTTTCCCCGAGAAGCAAAAGACGCGCGACTTTATCTTCAACACCCTCATCAACAAGCATCAAACGTGCGAGCTTGCTAAGGTAAAGGAGGAGAACAACAAACCCGCATGGTCGGCCACCGTCTCCACTCAAGGTCACGGCAACAACAACAAGAACAACAACAGCAACAACAACAACAACAACAACAACAACAACAACAACAACAACAACAACAACAACAACAACAACAACAACAACAACAACAACAACAACAACAACAACAACAACAACAACAACAACAACAACAACAACAACAACAACACCAACACCAACAACAACAACAACAACAACAACAACAACAACAACAACACCAACAACACCAACAACAACAACAACAACAACAAAAACAACAACAACAACAACAGCAGCAACAGCAACAACAGCAACAACAACAACAACAGCAACAACAACAACAACAACAACAACAACAACAACAACAACAACAACAACAACAACAACAACAACAACAACAACAACAACAACAACAACAACAACAACAACAACAACAACAACAACAACAACAACAACAACAACAACAACAACGGCGGCGGCAAGAAGCAAGTAAGACTTCCAACCAATCCATTCTTGGTCGCTACTCCTCATCAAGTTCTTCACCACATCAACCCTTCTCATCTAATCCCTCTCAACCCGCTAAGCCCTAATCGGGGAAGTTCAATTTCACTTGTCATTTTTGTCATCTATGGGGACACCCATGATTCAAGTGTCCTCGTAAGCCTCCCAATTGGACCTCTCCACCTCACCTTATTACCGCTAATGGCCGAGCCGCCCTATCACATGTAGTGAGCTCTCAAAATGAGACTCAACAATTTCCCTTACCTCAACTTCAATCACCCCAATTCTACGCAAGTCAATCTTATCCCTTTCCCTATTACCCCATGCAACCAATGCCTATGTTCTACCCTTCTCCACCACAAGGCTTTACGCCTCCATTACCTCAAGCTCCCCATCTCTCTCCCTCCAACCCAACACCCTCTTCTTCTTCCCAAAGCACCCCACAGGGCATAAGCTTTGCCATGACTTCATCCGCTCCCACATCGTCGTTCGATCCCGAATTTTGGTACCTTGATAGTGGGTGCGAGCAACACATGACTCCCAACTCTTCCCTCCTACACTCTCTCACTACCACAGGAGTCAAGTCCGTAACCGTTGCAAACAAGGAGTCAACTCCTACCGCGGGAGAAGGAACTCTTACCTTTCTCAACCCCACCGGCAAGCCGGTTTCCATCTCAGGTGTTCTCCTCGTTCCCAAATTTGGAGCCAACCTACCGTCGATTGGACAACTCGAGGAGAAAGGCTGCACCGTTTCCTTCACAAGTGGTTTCGTGTAGATTCGATCACAAGGACTCGTCATTGCACGTGGTGAGCGAGTTGGTCGCCTCTACCGCCTCAAGCGCAACATGAACCCGGAGTACCATCGACTCCACGGCTACACTGGCGCTGCATCAAGTACCATCAAGCCTCACCCAGGTACTGCTACTACACCTTACATGTGGCATTGTCGCTTGGGTCACCCTGGAGCATCAACCACAAAGTCCATCACCGCACATGCAAGTCTTGAAGGTCTTCACATCACACCAAATCCCGAGTCTTCCTCTTCACTTTCTCCATGCCATTCATGCATCGAAACCAAGCACGCATATCATCCTCAACCCCCTGTCAATGTTCAAGTCTCAAGTCTTCTTGACCTTGTTCATAATGACATCATTGGTCCTGCTCGCATGCTCAGTCGCACGGGCAAGCAATTCATCATGACCCTAATTGATCATCAGACACGCTTTGCATGGGTCTTCCTTCTTGAGTCTAAAGACTTTGTTCCCGAAGCGTTCAAAGTGCGGCATGAGCACATCAAGAGCACAACCGGTCTTCAAGTCAAGACTCTGCACTCAACCAGAGGGGGAGAATACATGAGTAAGTCATTTCGAAACCACCTCTCATCCATTGGCACTGCACAAGAGTTTTCATCCCCCTAAACCCCTCAGCAGAACGGCATTGCCGAAAGATTCAACCGCACCTTGCAGGAAATTGCTAGATCCCTTCTCTTGCGCATGAAGCTAGATGATGCATGGTGGGGAGAAGTCGTGAACCATGCCGTCCACCTCAAGAACTGTCGCTCAACCACCGCTCTTCCTTCAGGTATCACTCCAATTGAAGCATGGTATGGGAAGAAGCCTGATGTTTCCATGTTGCGGGTGTTTGGGTGCATGGCGCAATACCGCATTCCCGATGAGAAGAGTGGAAAGTGTGAGAGCAAAACACACTGGGGCATACATCTTGGGATGAGCAAGGAGAGCAAGGGTTGGGTTCTCTGGGATCCTCTCCTTTCCAAGGAGATTGTGAGCAAGGGCGTGATAGTTCCATGAAGACATGTCCCTTGCTCGATGGAAGTTTTCCTTTCTCCCTCCTTCTCCTTCCCCCCAAGAGTGCTGCTCTCCCCACTCCACCAGGACTCACCTCAACACCCGTGGTGGAGCCCTCTCCAAGTGCACCCGTTGGAGATACCACAACATCTCCACCTGTACTTGAAACCAACACGCCTTCCCATGAGTCGCAGCAGAGCCAACAAGAGCCGAAAGACGCATCTCACCCGCACTCTGCCAAAAGACGCATCTCACCCGCACTCTGCCGAGGCGTCGCATTCACTTCAACCCGAGCAGCAGTCAACACCCGAGCTGCTGTCAACACCCGAGCAGCAGTTAACACCCGAGCAGCAGTCAATTTCAAAGGAGCCATCTTCAAACATTCAGTCTACTCCTTCATCTCTTGTGAACACTTCAACCATCTTCCCAGTCGCAGCAGATGAGCCGCTTCAACACGTTCAACCACCGAACGATGTTCCTAAGACAACCATGCTTCCAGCACCTCCAACCATCCCGGATGGTAACACGAGTCACGAAGGTATCACCGAGCAAGCACAACTTCCCAAGCAAGCATGCAAGCCAGTGCAGCGCATGAACCTCGCAGTCGGTGCATGCTTCCCAGTCACAGCCCAATGCACCAACCCTCACTGTATGGACTGCAAGGTAGTCGCCATGTGTCACGCCATCAGTTGCCTCCCACCTGAGCCATCCACTCGTAAGCAAGCGCTGGCAAGCACTGAGAGAGAAGAGTGGGTAAAGGCAGAGAGAGATAAGATTTCTAGCCTCCTTGCACCACTCCCTCCTGGTAAGAGAGCACTGAAGGTCAAGCGGACATACCGAGTGAAAGTGAAGGGAGATGGTACCCTTGACCGAATCAAGGCACGCTTGGTAGCCAAAGTTTTTTCACAAATGCCAGGCACGGACTACACAAAGACCTTCTCTGCTATAGCCAAGTATACCACTGTCAGGTGCGTCCTGGTAATGGCCACAGTGAAGAATCTCCACATCCACCAAATGGATGTGAAGAACGCATTTCTCTATGGTAAGCTCGACAAAGAGATCTACATGGTACAGCCCGAAGGTTACTCCGATGGTACCACCAAGGTCTGCAAGCTGCTGAAGTCCCTCTATGGACTAAAGCAAGCACCACGAGTCTGGTTCCACACACTTGAGATATCACTCCTCACTCAAGGTTTCACCAAGTCACAGTTCGATGCCGCACTGTACATCCTACGCACAAGTGAGGGGGAGTCCTTGTGGCTCCTAGTCTATGTGGACGACATCCTCCTGGTGTCAGCATCATTGAGTCTCCTCACACGCATCAAAGGTATGCTCACCCAAGACTTCATCATGACAGACATGGGTGAGCCCTCACACTACCTTAGCATGAACATTGTGAGGGACCGCACCACCAAGTCACTTTTCATCTCACAGCAGAGGTACACTAAGAAGGTCCTTTCAAGGTTTGGTCTCCTTGACTGCAACCCAGTTGAGACCCCACTCCCCTCAGACTTCACGCTGAGCTCGCACGAGCGTTGACCCTTCCACTGTTGAGTCAGCGGTCACAGAGCTTGAGGGTGAGGTCGAAAGCCTTGAGCCTCCTGAGGACATTGGTCATGACACATATGGACCACAGTCCACATGCCACATCACACACCTTGAGCTCTCACTCTTCCAGAGCCAAGTGGACAGCCTTATGTACGCCTCCATTTGCACCCGTCCTGATCTAATCCATACTGTCGCCACTCTCTCAATGCATGACATCACCCACTCGCATGCACAAGCGTGGGGCACATCGTGCCTTACGCTATCTCAAATCAACCTCTTCCTTTGGTCTCCTCTTTCAAGGGTTTGAGGGTGCAAGCATGCTGTATGGCTTCACGAATGCAAATTGGGCTGGGGATATCCCTACTCGCAGGTCCACTTGAGGATACATCTTCATGCTTGGAGGGGCGGCCATCTCTTGGCAGTCAAAGAAGCAAAGCTGTGTGGCTTTATCAACCACGGAGGCAGAGTACATGGCTGCGACCCAAGGAGCCCGAAAAGCAGTGTGGATAAGAGGTCTTTTGAAGGAGCTTGACCTCCCACAAGAGAGCCCTACTCCCATCTTCATTGACAACACGACGACGATCGCTCTCACCAAGAACCCAGTCTTCCATAGGAGGACCAAGCACATCGCGACGCAGTATCACTACGTTCGAGAGCTTGTGGAGCTGAAAATCGTTTAGCCCCTGTTTTGCCACACGATTGAGCAAGCGGCGGATTTCCTCACCAAGATCCATGCACGCGACAAATCATCAACACTCTAGTTCAAGTCGGATTAATTCTAGCCGCTGGATTTGAGGGCATGGGCTTGCAGTGAGGGGGAGTGTTGTGAATGGCACGCTCGTCACGTGCCACACCAATTTGCCACTCCAACCCCTTCCCCTCAAATGCCCTCGTAACTTTCCTTCCTACCTTCCCAAAGTTATCCAACTCCTCCAAACCCACTCAGATTACCCAACTTCCAAGACTTCTTCTTCCAACTCGCCTTCTCCAACCTAAGCCAACCAACTTCTCCTTAATTATTCCCAACCACCATAGCCTTTCCTAATCCAACTCAACCAAGTTTCCAACCAGAATCCTTATTCACCTCCAAGCCCCACCATAAGGCGCATGACTCCTCGATATTTTCCATGTGCTTTCCCTTCCTACTCATCAAAGATTACCCAAGTCATCTACTTCCTCCACTTATCCTCCTCCCATGTGCCTTCAATCACATGCCTCCATTTCCTAGTCATCAACCTCCACATGCATCTTATTTACTCCCTCCTTCCTTCCTTTCCCAAGTCACCAAAGTTGTCAACTCATCTCTTAAGGACTTATGATTACCACCTCACCTCCTCTTCCAAGACACCAAAGCTATCATATCTCCTCTACTCATTCCTTTCCAAGTCACCCAAGTCCTCATCCAACACTACAAGGCTACAAACTCCAACTCATCAAGTGCTCAATCACCACCACATGCTCCAAACTATTCATCTCCAACAAGCATCTCTACAACTTCTCAAGAAGGTTCTTCAATGACAACAATGCATTCCAAGCTTCTTCATCAAGTTCCTTCCCAAGCTTCTCCTTCAAGCTTCTCATCTACTACAAAGGCTCCTCACTAGCAACCAAGTTCAATGTCTCCAAAGTTGATACTCTCATGCAACTCTCTTCCAAGGCTACTATTGATGGTTACTCTCTCTATGCATGCCTATGTATCCCTCATGGATCTATAAGGCTTGTAATAAACCCTTCTC